TCATTTTCTGCACAGATTCCAGAAGCATAAAATTCAAGATTTCTTGGTATCTTCCATTGATCATCATCATCATCATTCTCAAGAACAGATTTCATGGCGAATTAGAAAGCGATGATGATCCAATGCTCATATTCCTTTTGTACCTTAATTGCAAAGAAACTTGCCGTTCTAATCGTAACTGTCGATAGAAATTGTCGATGAACATCTGAGCTCTCTTATCAACATCATCTTCTTCTGGGAAACTCGTACTTCTTTGTAAAGAAAAGCTTTTCGTTTTTTGTAACATCTGTGAAGAACCTGAAGAATGATCAGAAAACCCTACGACATTGTTGTTATCATCATCGTCTTCGTCGTCGTCTTCTTCGCCTGATGATACAATTGCTGTCAACCCTAATCCTTGACCAAAGCTCAACCTCCGGCGACTGTTTGAACCACCGTTGAAGGAGGAAACGAACTTCCACCGGTTTACGTCGGAGTTTATGAGAAAAGTGATCTTGTTGACCACCGTTTTTAGCCTGCTTAATAACTGCCATCTGCTGTTATTGTCTTCCGCCATGGTTGATGATTTACAGAGATGATTTTAAGGTTAAGTTACGAATGAAAAGGAAATGGGGTTTTGGTGAAAAATATAGAGAAATGGTTGAGTGTTGGAGAATGTGTGGATGGAAGTCGATACCTTAAAAACAATGGATGGAAGAAGAGAGCGTGGAGAAAAGGAGAATTGAAGCAGCTTCTAGATTAAGTTAACTTAGATTAAATAATACCATGGACCAAATGTTAATTATGGGTTCAATATGTTCAATATATACAGAGAGAGTTTATTTCAAATACAATCTATCATATTTGTACAACCAATGCAACCCAATAAATTGAGATATTTGTGGAAATAATTAGAGTTCATTTGTTATGATTTGAATATTTATGAAAGATGAATATGGTTCATTAATTATGATCAATACTTTATATTAGGAAACAATCAAAACATCTATGAAATTACATATTAATCAAATGAATATATAGGTGAGTTATTATGCAACTCTTTACATTTGTACAACCAATACAACTCAATCTCAACCGTTCATTTCATTTGATTAATATGTGATTTCATAGATGTTTTGATTTTTTCCTAATATAAAGTATTGATTATAATTAATGAATTCCAATATCTTCCATAAATATTCAAATTATAATAAATGAACTCTCATCATTTCCATAAATATCTCAATTGATTGGGTTACATTGGTTGTACAAATGGACATGGTTGCCTTTAAAATATACCATATATATAGAGTTTGATTTAATTGCAACTCATCACATTTGCACAACCAATGCAACTCAATAAATTGAAATATTTATGGAAATGATTAAAGTTATTTATTATGATTTAAATATTTATAAAAGATGAATAAGGTTCAATAAATATGATCAATACTTTATATTATAAAACAATCAAAATTTCTATGAAATTACATATTCATCAATTGAATGAACAATTGAGATTAGGTTGTATTGATTGTACAAATGTAAAGGGTTATATAATAACTCACTCCTCTCTCTCTCTCTCTCTCTCTATATATATATATATATATATATATTTCCAGCTTTATGTTTATTTTTGTGTGGTGATATCTTACTTTTCAAGATTTTTTTTATTAACCTGAATATCCAATTCGTTATGCGAGCCGACTAATCCTATGGCGACCATCTATTTTGTAGATAGTCTGGAATCACCGTATTTGAACCTCCATAACTATAAAAGAATTTTTATATTTGCTTGGATTTTATCTGGGACCTCCGAATCCTTTTGAAATTTGAAGCAAAAAGCTTAAATCAACCACCACCACCACCCTTGTGGTTTACTTTTCAAGATTTCTTGTATTTGCCTTTCTTGTGATCTTGTCTCAAAGTCTTTTATTTGTTGGAAGTCTTTATTTTATTACATTTCTTTTGCCAACTTTAATTTCTTCACTCATTTTTCATAAGTTAAAAGCATCTTCATATTTAGATTTATAAAAAAATATTATTTTTTATTTAAAGTTAACAGATAATTATATAATTATCTATAAATATTATTATAAAATATATTTGAAATATTTATAAATAATTATATAAATATATGTTAACTTTAAATAAATTATAATATTAAAATAAAATTGGAAATTTCCAATTTCCAAAAACTAGAAGGAAGAAACTCAACTTGGGGACCAAGTTTGGAAATGAGGAGGTAATACATAACTCATCACTTTTCTCTAAAAAAATTAATAGTAAATTATAAATTTGGTCTAAATGATTTGTTAAATTAGAGTTGATATTGCAGACTTGGGTTGGATCCGAGTAAGTGAACATCAAGTCACATTGTTTTATCGGATGAATATGGTAAGGAACAAAAATCTTAATTGATAAGAACGAGATAAGGACTAAGGGGCCGTTTACCAAACACTTACCCGATAAGCGCTTACCGGTAAAATTTAATATTGTCATTTACTTACCAGGTAAAATTTTAGTCCACCAAAACGGTATCGTATGCAATAATTTATCCGGTAAGAGTCTTCGTCCTCACTTACCGGGTAAGACTCTTGGTCCTTGTCTCGCTCTTACCGGGTAAGATTCATGGTTCTTACATATAAGTTCATTCGGTAAAGTAATGTAACTTGATGTTCACTTACCCGAGTAAGGGTTTGGTAAACGGCCCCTAAGAGTCTTACCCAGTAAGTGAGGGCGATAACTCTTACCATGGTAAGCACTTACCGGATAAATTGTTGTATACGATGCCGTTTTGGTAGATTAAAATTTTACCCGGTAAATAAATGATAATGTTAAATTTTACCAATAAGCATTTACCAGGTAAGTGTTTGGTAAACGACCTCTAACTTATTTTTCTTGTTGAATGAAAACCATGTTCATATCCGTCCTATAAATGGGAGGATTTGTAAAAATAAAAAAGATTGTTTTTAAATATGCTTTTGGTATCTAAGAATGAATATTTGTTTGTGTAACGAATGGCTCATGACGTCTTGCGACGCGCGTATTTTTTGTAACACGGCTTTTTTTCAAAAAAAAGTAATTTTTTATCTTTCGTGTTTTATCATTTTAACTTTAGATTTTACACTTTTATAGATTTATCTAATCACATCACTCACAGTCTCACAAATTCATAAATGTTATGGACTCGTGATCAAAACGAAGTTCTGAAATTACCTTTCCAAGTTCTATTTTAAATATTTGATCAAAAACTATTTTTATAATAATAATTTATATAATTTTTCTTATTTTAATATGAATGTACATTTTTTATATTATTATATGATTAGCTAATATATTGAAAACGTATATGTGTATATATAATTCTATATATAACATACAAATTTGTCGTTTATGCCACGCATTGAAAAACGTTACTTATTGTTGTAATGTACGTATAAGGCTTAAGGTTTGACCTCGCCGTCACATCAACCCTCATGTCATTTTGAAAGTTGGGTGGATCTCAAGGTTGTCAATAAACAAATAAATTAAATAGGATAATAAAAATAATAATGTTATTTAATTAAATAAAATACTGGCTTTCAACCTAAATGGTTTCAATTTCAACCGATCGGTAATGAGAAATCCACCAATCCACGTATGATGTGTGAACAATGACTCTAGATTTTTGTTCATCCCTCGCCGCAATAGCCATCTACTTTCATATTTTAAGACGGAATCGGTTTGGTTCTCGTTTCCGTGTTCTCATATTTTTCGGTTCCGATTCGATCCATACGGTTCGATTTAGTCCTACAAGACAACCCTACTTTAACCTAAATTTTAAGTTTAATTCATTTCATTTTTTTGTCTTTTTTTTAATACTAGAAAAGTACTCGCGCAATGCAGCGAGACACATCTCGATTTTAATGTTCTATTTTATTTTTTGCCTCTGTCGATGTTATAATACAATTTTATGTGTTTTTAAGAAAACAATGATGATTTTATTTTTGAATAAAATATAAATTTGAAGATATCATAAGAAATTTGAAAAAAAAATATCAATGTTAATATCAAATCAACTATTTAAAAATTCTCATTTTGTATGTAATTTCTTTAATTTATTTTTTTATTGTAATTTAATTTCAGTAAATAATTTATTTTTGGTTTAATAATATAAATTTTATAAGTATTCTTTTAGTATTTAATGATTATCCTAATTATATTTTAATTTTTTTATATTTAAAATAAGATGTTTATCCAATAGTTGATTATGTTTATCTGCAGTTAGTTACACAAATTCAGATATGGAGCTTTAATAAGTTGTACTTACACACAATCTATTTGCAATCTTGAGTTTTAAGTAACATACATTAATAAACAGTACTTTACGCATAAAAAAAATGATTTTTAAGAGTTTTTGTCAAATATTTTATAATATAGTATAGATATAATATATAAATTTTTCTTATTATAAAATAACTAGTTGTGTACCGGCGCAATACGGCGGGAGCCATGAATTTTAACGATTTTGAAGTTCTACTGGTTTTATAAGATAAGATTTAACGATTTTGAAGTTCCAGTGAAACTTCAAAATCGTTAAAATTTACGGTTCTCCGCCGTATTGCGCGGATACACAACTAGTTATTTTAATTATGTATTAATGTTACGTAAAAAGTATTTATTCAAATATATTAATACAATATATATTAAATATATTTTCTTATTAATCAAATATCTTAAATCCCTAAAAATCAATCTTATGAATTTTAAAGGTGTCTGGGATTGCTTATAAAACTTATTAACTTATTTTGGTATGACATCTATAATAAACATTCTTGAGTGTTTTGATAAATAATTTATATTGGTATCAAATTGATAATAAAAAGTTTTTGAAGAAGTTAAATTTTTTTAATTTATAATAAATTAATAAATATTTTTTTTAGAAAAGAATACCCCTAAATATTGTAACCCAAACACACCCCTAAATATTGTGGGATAATTAGAAACGAGTGCCTTAGAAACTGAAGAAAGGAGCCCCATTCGTCTCAAGTAAAAAAGGAGTCCACCTTCCAGAGAGGGAAGCTCTGAAATCGCCATCGTCATTTCCCTCAGATCTGCTCAATCGCCAGCGCAGTTTCCAGAAATCAGATGTCGTACGCCGAACGAGACACCGTCCCCCTCAACCAGTCCTCCCAATCCGACATCGATGAGATCGAAAACCTCATGAACTACAGCATCCAATCGGGTCCCGCTACTGTCCTCCCCGCCCGTCCACCATCTCCTACGCGCGCATCCATTCCCGTATCTTCTTCCCCCTTCATCCCATCCAACCTTCCTCAGAAACCGGCATCTGTCCCTGCCGCACCTCCACCGCCTTCTAACCTCAACCGCAATGCTAATGCTAATGCTGGGACCAATGGTCAACAACAGTCCGGCATGACTGGCTTCGGGTCTCCGCCGAACACGTTGACTGAACCCGTGTGGGATACGGTGAAACGAGATCTTTCGAGGATTGTTAGTAATTTGAAGTTAGTTGTTTTTCCGAATCCGTTTCGTGAGGATCCGGGGAAAGCTTTGCGAGATTGGGATCTTTGGGGGCCGTTTTTCTTCATTGTGTTTCTAGGGCTCGTTCTATCTTGGTCCGCCTCGGTAAAGAAGGTGCGTTTGCTTTCTCTTGTATCATGTTGTTTCATTTTAAATTTTAGGGCAAATACGTGTTTTGTGTTGTCTGCTGTACAGATCTGGTTTCCCGGAGTTTAGGTTTTATCTAGTCCCAGCGGGATCATAACTGGATTATTGAGATTGGAATTGCTGTTACTTCAGTTTCTAATGAAAGCAAATCAAATCAACTGGAGCTTCTCTTGCTATGATCAATCTAACATTTCCCTGATATATCATTGCTCTAGACTTTGCGAGTCCTTGTGAATTGTCGCTAAACCTTTTGCTACCTGTAGACACATCAGTTATCAGGAATTCAGGATTAGGTTACTTGGCCTCTATAGGAAACATTTTAGCTTAATCATGTGGTTTAACTCCGTCATTTTTACTAGAAGTTGTTTTGGAAATGAGGGGGTTGCATGATGCATTATTAAGCCAGAGGTTTGTCCGAGCGTAGCTTGTTCCTTGATTTTGGAACAAAATATGAGCTGTTCTAATAGTACTTTGGGAAAATTGAAGCATTTCTTTGTGTGACATTGCAGGGAAAACTATTTCGAATCCTTATACTCATTTTCACAAGTGTTCCAAAAACCCCTGCCTAGGTGTTAGGTTTTACCCCTTTGCTATCATTAGTTATTGCCGCTTATTCAGGCGCCTGGGAGTTTTTCCATTGGTTAGTTAGCAACTAAACCTTGAATTAAACATTGCAAAAGTTAAGCGGGAATTAGCTGGCTTTTCTCAATTTGGGTGTTCATCAATCAAATTTTCTTAACTTGAAATCTTTCTAATCTGAGTAATTTTATCGTTTGAAAGTAATGATTTAGAATTGTAATTAGGCATGGGAATGGGACGCGGATCCCATCACCATCCTCATCCCCATCCCCGTCCTCATCCCCACCGGGGAATATGATACAGACGGAGATCCCCAACGAAGAATTGAGGATTTTTTCCCCGTTAATTTGAGATAATTTGAATCGTGTATTAAAACCACACTCGATCAATAATTGTCCATGTTTAAATCTCACATCAAAATTTGTTTTTATGGAGTATTAAATGTTCGTATGTGAACAAATCGCTACATCATACGTAATTGTTTGATCAAACGCTTTCGGCTCTCAATGCTTTTTATCTAAGAAAATGTAAGACGACTCATAAAAATGTATATATAAGAAGAAATGTCAAAATACTATAAATCTAAAAGATATTAAATCTAATTCTTTATAAAGATATGTAATATATATTTAATATACAGGGACGGGACAGGGCGGGGCGGGTACACCGGGTTCCCCAATGGGGCGGATCTCATTCCCATGCCTAATTATAATTATATAAAAACTTGGTAATATAGTAAATTTTTTATTTCTCATATGTATTATATAACCTGTAACTAATTGTATTATTATATATTTAAATGAATCCCTATGCTTACACTTGATCATCACTTAAAGAATGTCACTCAACTGTCTACCTATGCTTGATATATTTTAGATGAATTCATTTTTATCTAAGCTTGAGGCTTCTCTCACTAGTTAGCTCTAGTTTCCAATGCTAAAGCTATGAGCAAGTAATCATCAACCTGGGTGTGGTGCTATGTCCTTGGATATTTCGAGTCTTTTCCATAACCAAGATACAATACGTCTGATGTAGATTGATATAATTTCAATGATTCGAAAACTCACTAGTTTCTCTTGCCATAGATCATGATATATGTGTGAGCGATGTTTCTTTGATTATTCTGATATATGCTACTAGTGTCATTTTCCATGTGATTTGTATCATCGATATACAAAGATGATTACTAATTTCACCATGGCCTGTTTCTGCTCTTTCTTTCTTCTTTTTCTCTGTTCCTATGCAAGAGGCCATCCCTGATTATTACATCTTTGTATGTTGTCTAAAACTTCTTTGGAATATCTTTAGTACTACCATCATGCCTCCTATGTTCAGGTCGCCCCATTTTACTTCCTAGAAGCTTGTTCGATGTGATAATAGGTATTACACACTTTGCTAATTAGCACCAATTTTCACATGCTTATATGAACATCTCCCTCGTAGACCACTACAACATATTACACATGCTACTTTGTTGCTAAAAAAGTCTTGTCCTTCACGGCTAGTGGAATGGCCCTAATGCCCATCATCTTACCTACTAGAATTCCTTGAGTAACTGGTGTGGATATGGTTGTGGTAGGTAACACATGCATAGCTAGATGAACACAGGGTCATAAATTTAAAATAAAAAAATTCCTCAAAGTCCTTGGTGTCAACATCAACAATAACAGTATCATCATTATGGTAAATTGGTAACGCCAACTTGAACATTTTGAGATAGTTTCTACGAATGCCGATTCATGTATTCTGAGATTCTTAATCGTCATATATGTGAATTCCTGGCTAAACCTCATGCTGTAATGACCTTTTGTGATATATCTAGGGCAACTAGTAAAATAATGAATTGTGACTTGCACCAAACACTCTTTTTTTATGCTTGTGCCTTTTTTAGTCGTGTGATTAATTGGTGCCTATCCAATTGATCATTACCAAATGAAATCATTAGCCTCGGTTGCTCTTGTTACACTTGAGGTAGGTCGTCAAAAGTACCATCAAGCAGGCATGATTGTAGCCGGGAAGGATGGTTTGTAGGTGGCTGTGCAAGGCCTACAAATACTGAAACTTGAAGGATCAATAGTGTAAGTTGCAGGGATAGTAGATGCTAATTTTCTCATATAAATCTGATGGCAGATGTTTTCACTTAGATAGGGAAGGAAGAACCAGTGAAAGTAGTTTCTTGATGTGCATGTGGCTGGAGCCCTCATCATATCCAGGATGTGTTTGGAGGCATGAACCTTGATGACCTTAATATAATATGTGTGAGTCACTACGGTGTTGATTATTTGGGACTTTTCACTCTTGCTAATGAACAATGAGCTATAAGCCTGCTTGTGTAACATCCCTGAGAAATAGGAGAAGCATATGCGGATTTATGGTAGAAAATAATTTTTCTATGTACACTTTTTATATCAAAGCCAATTCTTTAACAACAATCAGACTTTGACATATGCTTTTTTTGATTTATGGGCAATTCTCTTCCATTCAAGTATCAAATGAAAATTATCAACTTGTTTACACAAAGCTTGTTTCTAATTGGCGTCATTGTCATTTTACAGTCTGAAGTTTTTGCTGTCGCTTTTGCACTACTTGCAACTGGTGCCATCATTCTGACATTGAATGTCTTGCTGCTGGTACTCTACTTTTTTCCCTCTCTCTGTATTCATACATATTAACCATATAGATATACAGATATGTGTGTCTGGAAAAGGGATTTGATAACCCCTTGTCCATTATATATAGAGTCCCAATCATTTGCAAACCTCCTACTTCACACAAACCATAAAAACCAAACACTTTAGATATTTATGGAAAATGATGAGGGTTTAGTTATTATGATCGGAATATTAATGGAAGATGATCCAAGTTCTTTCGTTATGATCATCGTTTTAAATTAGGAATCAATCAAGATATTCATGGAACCAGATATTCATTAGCCTATATGAACGGTTGAGATTTGTTTGCATGGTTAGTATGAATTAGACAGTTTGTAAATGATTGAGACTCTCTATATATATGTATATGGCAACTATAGGTGTGTGATCCCAGATTGCTCGTACCTAGATTAATCCCATAGGACACTGGAGATAACAACCAAGAAAATCTATAGTGTCCCTGAAGAGACTCGAACCAGCGACCTATGGGGATGAGGTCCAAGGTTGTCCATTATATTATATTTGCCTATAAAGCAGTTCCCATCTAAATGTCTCTTTTGGAAATTGGACGAATGACTGAAAGTTGAAAACAATCGTTCCCACTCTTTGGGGCACAAACAATTTTGCATACATCCCACCCTCACACCCTACCTTGGAACGGGATAATACCGTTCAGTTTGGTTTTGTTTGGTTTGGATGAGCCGAGTGAAAGATGATGATAATAATGGTGGTGGTTTGTAGGGTGGTCATATAATCTTCTTCCAGAGTCTGAGTCTATTGGGTTACTGTCTATTCCCTTTGGACATTGGAGCGTTAATCTGCATGTTGAAGGACAACGTCGTTTTAAAGATCGTGGTTGTGTGTGTGTCGTTGGCATGGAGCTCGTGGGCTGCATATCCGTTCATGAGTACCGCGGTGAATCCTAGAAGAAAAGCTCTCGCCCTTTACCCTGTGCTACTCATGTATGTATCTGTTGGTTTCCTTATCATTGCCATCGATTAGTAATTAATACCATTTTGTCATACGAAATTCTTTTGTTACCTGATGAACGATGAAACTCATGTAATAGCAGCTGTCGTCGGTTTACGTTTGATATGGGTTCGGCTTCTGAGTTGTAGAATACTTGGAGGTTTGATCCTTCTATATGTTATATCTGTAACAAAGTTTTGAAGATGATGTTTTCTAAATAAAACTTGTTTTTTTTTCTTTATATATTGACCACCAAATATTTATACTTTTTAGATGACGGTTTTATCCTTTGGTTTATAAAAACTTATCGTTGTTTTTGTTTTTGTTTACAATTTATTGTTGTTTTAATGCCTCATACTTAACAGATGCAGTTAAGCTCAGGGACGAAAGTGGTAATTTCAGAAGTACAAGGACAAAAATCACATTTTTTAACAAAAGTATAAGAAATATAGTTTACTCTACGTTTTAATTTTAATTTTTTTATTAACCTGAATATCCAATCCGCTATGCGAACCAACTAATTCCAGGGCGACCACCTGCTTTGCAGATAGTCCAGAGTCATCGCATTTGAATCTCCGTGACCACAAGAGGATTTTTATTCATTTTTGGATTTGAACCTGGGACCTCTTGGTATTTTTGACCTTTGGAGTCAAACTCAAACCAATCAGGCTCTTTTAATTAAAATCATGACGAATGAGTATAAAGCTATTTTATTTTTATAAGGTGAGATGGTGAATTTAAACCATAGTGATGACGAGAAGTGTGTCTTATATAATTTTTTAAAATAAAATAAAAGTGTATATGTTTAAGAAACGACATCACTTTGTTTATGGTTGGGGCCAATGGATTTGGATGTTGTGGGTGTTATGGATTAATGTTTGGAAGTGAGTTCAAAGTTTAAATAATTGTGTTTCAAATACATTAAAATGGGTAAGATGTCATGAGCACACTCATTGTGTTTCATTGCATTTGTACTTTTAGTTAAATATTAAATAGATACAAAGAAAAAGGTATATATATACATATAATTTCTTTTAAAAAAAATGCATGGACCTAAGTTTATGATTGAGCATTAAGCAAAATCAAACCCCCCTCATCATCAATCTTGTAAAACAATAATTAAAACTTAATTACTGTTTTCTTTGAAAAAAATATTTTCGAAGAAAACTTTTTTAAAATTTTGATTATTGTTTTATAAGGTTTGATGATGATGAGGGGTTTGATTTTGCTTAATGCACAATCATAAACTTATGTCCATGCATTTTTTTAATTTTTTAAAAATAAATTATATATATACATATATTTATACTATATTATAAAACATTTAACAAAAACTTTTAAAAACTATTTTTATGCGTAAAATACTGTTTATTAATACATATTACTTAAAACTCAAGATTGCAAGTAGATTGTGCATAAGTA